CGACGCAGGTGCAATGTTCGCCAGGTGCTGTATGCAGGCGTGCCGCACTCACTTGACGAGGAGAAGGTGTGCCGCATTACAATGTGCCGCGAACGATGTGTCGCGTTATCGAGCAGACATTCATGAAAGGTAATTACCAATACAGCTAGTTATCCTCATTTGTACATATGTGTATATCTGGAATCTTCCGTGTGTACCAACGACTGGAGTCTTCACAACCAGCGTTCAGACTGGAGATCAGCCAGCAGTCAGGAGATGATGACCAATACGCTCTAGAATTTCATTTTGAGATCATGTCTTATCATAAAACACTTTATTTCCGAAAAGTGTTTATTCTCAGTAAGCAGTATAAAAAAAAAATTCACTTAATTGTGAATTGATGTATCTTCAGTTCAGATTAAGTCTATTATTCAGTATTCAAGTACTGAATTCTCAAGTCATGTAATCAGTAAGTATAAGCTTTAAGTTAAGCTTGTACATTCAGTTTTAGTATTTCCGAGGACGGAAATATTTTAAAAGGGGTGGATTGTAACGCCCCGTATTTTATTAATAAAGGAAAATACTAGCTTTTAGTTTTAAGCTAGCCTTTATTAATAAATAATCATGTTTATGTTCAAGTTCAGATTAATCAATCAGTTATATCCTATGTTCGACTATTAGTCGATAAGTTATTCGGTTTACTTATTTTAGTAATCGAATAAGTTTCCAGATTTAATTCCGATTCATTATTTAATTAATGAGTTCGGAATTAATTATTCAGTCAGCGATATTCCGTCATGTCAATTATGTTTTTAGTTCCGATATTATTTTCGGAATTAATTAGTTCAGTCATTTCAGTCGAGATTACCGAAAATTATTTTCGGCGTACCGTTTACGTTCGGAATAATTTGGTAATTAAGTAGTATGCTTAATAATTAATTAAGCTTAATTAAGTGATTAATTGATGATTAATCACGAGATTAAATCATTAAATGCCGTAAGGCATGTTCGTTAAATCAAGTAATTGTTTCTTCATTTTAGTTCTTGTACGTGGCATCATTATATGAGATTGGGGAATGATTAGGCTTACATGTCATGAGTAAGCTCTCTTAAGTTATTTAAGGGTGGCAAGTGGTGCAAGGAAAATAAACCACATCACCCTTCATCACCTCAT